GATAGATTGTGGACATAGACATCAACACTGTATGGGGGTTATCAGTTTCACGTCTCAATGCGATCTGGTCTAAAGATCTCCTTGAAATGTGAAACTGATAGACACCATCCGGCGTTGGTTTCCAAGTCAAACCTAAGAGACATCGACGAAACCCGTTGTCGTTAAAACGTTTTTCTTCTTTGTCCCTTTATCATTATCTATCTATCTATCTATCTATCTTTTATTATTATTATTATTATTATTATTATTATTAAGAAATGAATTCACTTAGAATTATTTCTCTATTCAGATTGTTACCTTGGAATGCCACACTTTAAATAATGACTGGGATTTGTTAATTTGCGAAAGAAATCATTCACATTTGATACGGAAAAATATTCTTGCCGATTTGAAGAATTACTCTGAAGTCATTTTGGTCTTTCTTTGCATAAACGGAATAATGTTCACTTGGGTAAAAAAAGGTTTGATTTTCCCACAGGCTTTTCTGATAGTTTTGCCTTTTGTCAAAAAATTCATTTTAAAGGCAGAACTATGTAAAAACTACCTTCTTATCTGAATAGACTGACTCACATGCAGATATTTAGTCAATTTAGCCCTGTGACAATGTCATTTGTGTTTCTACAAAGTCTAAGAAAGAAGAAACTGCTTGCTTTCAAGGCACCATTCGAAATTGTATTTTGTTTTTCTTAAATACCGAGTCTTCCTCATCAAAGCAGACACCACGATTAAGAAATAAAAGGAAGTACTTTCTCATAGTTGCTTTTCAACGCAGCCGTAAAGAGACAAACGTTTAAACTTGTGCGTGTTTGTTTGTGTGTGTGGGTGTACTCCTGCGTTCACTTGTAGGTGTATGTGTTGTATTTCTGCAAATTCTCATACAATTCTACGCATAAGGCTTGATTTCTGTATAAAATAAAATCATACATGCTCGATGTTTACAGTTAAACTCTTTTAAGTCTGACCTTTATCAAAATAATATCTTTCGCTATTTTTAAAGTTATTTTATCAAATCGATGCCAAATTCTTGCCTTGGGTAATTATGAAGAATCCTTTGAATATTTCATGCCGTTTCTATTTAGAATGTGATTTTGCCTTTATAAATATTAATATGGTTTAGTGTGACACAAGGCCACCAGACTGAAGAAGAACCTAACTTATTAGACTTATAATGATGTGCGAAAATAACGTGCTAGTCATCGCTTTATGGCAGGCGACTTTTGTTTATCTTGAATGTGCTAAAGGATATTAAATAACTTTATTCTATCAAAATGATTGTCATGCTGATACAGGTGTATTTTATCAAAAGTAAAAATTTATTTTGAAAAGCGTTTGTTCTTTAGACATATTTGCACACACGTCAGCATTTGGTTTCATTTTTTAGAATTTTAGATGGAGACAAATTGAAATGAGAAATTGTGAAAGCAAAACACTTAAGTTTATTATCCCTTTACTAATAGATTTTAGTTTCATTACAGACGAAATGAAACTTAGTAAATATTACTGAAACTTAACGGATTTATCTTCAACCAAACATTAAAGTCAAAATAGAATTTTTATTTCATTCGAATCAGTTTTGACTTTTGACAAATTTATATTTTATTGTCTAAATCAGTTTTTTTTTATGAGAAAATTCTCTTGCATTATTTTTTTGTTATAAAATAAATAAACTTTGAACTTTTTATAATATTTGTCTTTTTTTTAAAAAAAACAAAACACGCCAAACTCCCGGGTCTACAAGCTCACTCTCCTTATGAGCTTTTTATTATCATTGGAAGGTGTGAGACGGGCGTAAACGCGTCATTGTCGATTTTCTTCTTGTGAAGTAAAATGATTTCCCTGATGACATCGGATAATCGGCAAAACATGTCAATTTAAAAAAAAAAAATAATTGTACAAATTGTGTCATCATTATATTTTTTTGTTTTGTTAAGTTCATTTGAACAAATATTTTCTATTAGAAATTCCCCCGAAATCTGTGGAAAATTTGGATTAAATCCGATCGAATAATTAAATAAGTAAAAAGTAGAAATTTCCTCTTCCCCAAATTTCTGCTGAAGCCCAATAAATAGCGGCAGATTTTAATTTTATAAAGATTTTTCATCTTTTTATATATTAAATTATATATATATATATATATATATATATATATATATATATATATATAAAATTGTGTATTTGGGCAGCAATCCAACTTTTATACAAGTTTCATTGAAGACGACTGACACAATTCAATAAAAAGTTTAATCTCAGTTGAGCTTTTTATTAAATATTTCTTGCATTCGTACAAGTGATGTATTTTTTGGACATAGTATATAAATTGTCCAATTAATCCCTGGATCCAAAAGCTTTCAGTTAAACTATTATCAACGATGATTTGCTTAACTGAATATGAATTTATATATATATATATATATATATATATATATATATATATATATATATATATATATATATATGGTTTAATTTCCGGAGACGGTCAGCACGTTATTGAGAGGTGACTCAATGTGTATATATATATATATATTATATATATATATATATATATATATATATATATATATATGTGTGTGTGTGTGTGTGTGTGTGTGTGTGTGTGTGTGTGTGTGTGTGTGTGTGTGGACACTGAGGTCAACAGCAAGCGTATTGGTGCTGGCCTGGTGGTGTACGCTTGGTGTTGACTTTTATATTTTATATTTACATACGCTCTATCTCTGATATTGAGCACCTTTACCTATAAATATAGTATACCTTAAAATATATTTTTATCATATATATATATATATATGTGATTAAATAAAGAACAGGATGAAAATCTTTATTTATCTCACTCACTCTCTCTCTCTCTCTCTCTCTCTATATATATATATATATATATATATATATATATATATATATATGAATGAATGAACCTTTTCTTTTTTTTCTTTCTTTCCAACGTCACCTAAAAACTTTGTAACAATATATTGTTATATTAATAATCTAGGTTGAAATCATGGCTTCAAGACAAGTATTATTATGACATATTCATACAAATACAATTATGGGTGACTGACGCAGCATGATCTTCACCTAAATCTCGTTCTCAAGTAAATACTAGTGGTACATTAGCAAAGTAAATACTAGCCAAGTAAATACTAGTGGTACGTCTAGTCTTATACGCATCTTCTTCTATAAACACAGAGCTGTGTGATCTTCATTGAGTGAAAACGAAAGTTCTCTTAACAATTTGTTTTTAAGAAAAAATTACTCCATTTTCAAGTAGATTTTCTCCGACATGAATTTCTAACCGTCTTTTTCCTTTTACTCTTTCATTAAAATATAGTTTAATTTTGTTTTAAAAGATGGAAATAGAAAATTACTTTAAAGAAATACAATGACGCGCTCAAAGCTTGCCGTCACGTCTGTCAAACACAAAGCAAATATTTTCGCCTGCTTTAAAGAAAAAACTATCGCATACTAGTGACGCGGAAAAGAATAAATACTTGTTATTTTCTGTCATTATTTTTCATTCTAAAGAATCAACAAAAAGACAATCTTATCTATTAAATATTCTTTAACTGCCGATCTGATCAGGTAGAAAACCTGTTTATTCAAATATACTTTCAATTCGTTCATTCTACTCTCTGATTCGTTCCTATGTCTTTGAGAGAGATATTAATATCCAAATTTTCACGCACAGACACAGAATGTAACTTTTAAAAAGTCTGGTTAGAATAAAGGTGACCAATGAAGAACTAGATTTGCTTTAAAAATAAAATCTTGAAAAATAGCAACAGTACATTTTCTTTGTGGATCTACTTAGCATAAAGAGACGTAGTTCGAAAAAGTCCATATTCTCAAATATTTTTGTTTGTAGTAGTTTTTATGTTATTCCTATTATTATACTTTTTCTCAAACCTAAAAAGTTATTCGTTCGTCAAGTCGATAAACTTAACGCATAAATTAATCATTGTTCATGAAAAGTGAATTTCAGTGAAATCTCATAGATTTAGTAACAAGTAAATAAAAGGAGAAATACTTACCAACAGAGACACGTGTTGTTGAATCTATTCGACAACTTCCTATTGCCCTTTGAATGTTTTCTTCTGAAGCAGAAGAAAAGACGAATGAGGATGAGCGGGCGTTAATAATCCATTTTGTATTTAGTCTGTGGTGACAAGTTTTGCGTGCCGAGCGAGCTGAGCGCTAAACATAAGAGGGTCTACTGGGTACATCGAGAAACCCGTATCCACGTGACAGTCGTTACGCGTCAGCTTCAGCGATTGGGTGACGGAAGACGGTCAGTGTCGAAACGAGGAATAGAGCGGGTGGGGCAGGAAAAAATATTGGTTTTCTCATCTACATTAAAACACTGACAGAAGATTTCAGAATAATCAGCTGCCGAGCCAAATAGCCGGCCGGCGTGACGCTACAAGAAACAGAATGGTTTATGCTTTGTGCAGCAGCAGCAGTAGCGGATTTGCAGATGCGTTCTAGTACCAGAACTAGCAGTGCTAGCAGCTCTTGTAAGGCGTAATTTTCTGTTCTTTCTAGAAAAATTAAAACAGAGTTAGTCTTGTTCTCTGACGTCGTAAATTGTCGATAAGAGTTGCTAAGTTGATTTAACTGCTCAGCTTTTCTTTAAGGGTGTCGCCTCCTTTGTGGTGCTGAGTGACGCTGAAATGCGCTTTAACAGCGAAAAGTCACATTAGTTGGACAAATTACGGTAGCAGGAGCGTCGATGCTGACAACGGTGATGTGTTGATGGTTTCAGTGAGAAATCCACGAGCCAACACAACGATGTCTATTACAATTGGGTGCTGATTGGTCGCAGTTGGTAGAAACACATGCCTCTTTCTTGCTATCGGTTGCCTTCATTAATGGTTGGAGACGCAGTGTGGTTGGGTAATTCATAAGCAATGCAGTAGCAGCAGTGGTACTGAAAAAAAATATTTATCTCATAATGACGACAAATTTCCAAGGAGATAGAAACTAATAATATAGACAGATAATTGGGGTTGCTAGTCTGTGTGTGTTTTTGAGAGAAAGAGAGAAAGAGAGAGAGAAAGACAGAGAGAAAAATAGAGAAAGACAAAGAGAAGAAAAGAGTCAGACGATGAAAAATATGGGTGTGTGTTTTGTATGAGAGAGACAGGAAAAGAAAGAAGAAAGAGAGAGAAAGAGAATGAAAATAGTTGTGTGTGTGTGAGAAAGAAAGAAAGAAAGAAAGAAAAAAGAAAGAAAGAAAGAAAGAAAGAAAGAAAGAGAGAGGGAAGAGTCAGACAATGAAAATATGGGTGTGTGTTGTGCGTGAGAGAGACAGGGAAAGAAAGAGGAAAGGGAGAAAGGAGGCGTGAGTTGTGCGTATATATATGTAAAACAGAGAAAGAGGATATATATATATATATAAGAGACAAATAATGACAATATGTATGTGGTTGAAAGCCAGACAGCGTGAGTAAGCGGATGTATACTGTATATATTTGTATTGGTTTGAAAGAAGAAAAAAAACAATCTTCGGACTTCTGATATTGATTGTTACCAAGTTTGGCATCCGACAGCAAAAGGGTGAATGAGGGGAAGAAGGAGAACGCTGGAAGACTGTGTTGAACAAATTTATTAAATAGAAACATATCGTCTATTTTCAACATTCGAAACCCTGGCCTTTACCTGCGCTTGAACCGTGACCATTGGCGCTGGTACAAGATACGAAATTATCTCAACCACATAACTGAACGCTAATATATTTAATTTGTTAGCAAGTTATTTTTTTTTTATATATTGAACTTGTAAACGATTTTTTTTTTCGTAAAACAACAAATAAGAAAAGGGTGGGCAGACATGTATCGCGTCTTGTTTTGGTTTCGTCAAAAGAGGAGATATTAATAAGTGAATTCGTCAATCAGTCTCGAGCTGTTGATCACAATTGATGGAAACTTTGTCAATTGCTTTCTCTCTCTCTCAACAACACAGACGCATCATTTTGTTGATCTATCTGTCTGTCTGTCTGTCTGTCTGTCTGTCTGTCTGTCTGTCTCTCTCTCTCTCTATATATATATATATATATATATATATATATATATATTATTGGCACATGGCAGAGTGGTGATAATATTCGCATTCTGACCATGAGACCCGGGTTCGAATTTGTCAGGAAGGAAACATCCTGATGTTACTGGACTGGAGGGGGTCGATCCCAACGTACCTAAAACCCATATCACGAGTTGAGGCGAGCCTTGTGAGTGAAATTAGGAGGCGTCGATAGCTATGCTTGCACGAAGTCAGAAGTCATCGTGGCCGAGGGCTTGAGCGTGCTGGCCTTGTTCAAATTATTGATCTCGTTATTTCCCAGAAACTGTAACTAAGGTCTGCTAAGCATAGTTGCAGTATAAACCATAGGTAGGCTCTGTGGGTGTTGAATAGACACAAAGGTGCTTGAGCAAGCGTCTGCAAATAGGGATTGGATTGCCGCCCTAGTAGACGGATATTCTCTAATACATACATACATACATACATATATATATATATATATATATATATGTGTGTGTGTGTGTGTGTGACAAAATTTTGGAAATTTCACGGTAATCTAACACGCGTTATAATTTGTCTGTGCTTCGATAGGAGCAATCATCAGACGCTTACATGCGGCAGTATCCTCAGAGTATTGAGCACGCACACACACACACACACACACATATATATATATATATATATATATATATATATATATATATATATATGATGATTAAACACCTTACATGAGACACTATCCTCAGAGCATTGAGTATTGTATTCAAAAAAATGAAAGTTAGGCTATATTTAATTGGAAATACATTCCAATTAAGTAATTATTTATATTGTGTGCACACACACACATATATATATATATATATATTGTACATGCCTACCTGTCAACAACCTATTTCTTTCTATCTATCAATCCTCGCCTGCTCTTTCTACACACGCCTATACGCGCACGCGTACTTGCGCACTCGCAGGTATATATGCTTTCTTCGCTCAGTTTTTCTTTCCTTCTATCTATCTATCTATCTATCTATCTATCTATCTATCTATCTATCTCATTCCATAGCCCCTCTCTCTATCTCTCTATCTATCGCATTCCACCCCTATCTATCTATCTATCTATCTATCTATCTATCTATCTATCTATCTATCTATCTTATGGATTAAGTTCATTTCGCATTAGTCTCTGGATGTCTTTGTGTTGCAGTGTAAATATGCGGCTGGCCAGGTCGCCACATCGAAACAGTTACTGATTTGTGTCACTCGATCGCTTCTTTTTTCTTTTTTTTCTTTTTTTGCGAACGAATTACGAACATAATGGTGTTATGATTGTCAGCGTCTATGCATGCAATGTGTTTTCCTGCGTTCAATGGAAGAAATTTCGACTGGAAGGAATGGAATGAATTTGAAAAGAACAAGAGAATAAACAAAGGAAAGAAAAAGTACAGACTTTTTGGCAGAATCGGTGACGTAATGTGTTACCATGGTAATATGAGAGCTGTTTACTTGAAAAGTTAACAAATGCAAAAGTGACAAAAATATAGTAAAACGTGGCTGTTGTCGACAATAACAAAAGAAACCGCGTAGTTGATTGAAAGAATCACTTCGCTCCACGGTAAAGGAAGTAGACAACAGGAGTTTCAAATTATAATAATTATGAAAATATTAAATAAAGACCGTAGTTTTGGTATATGTGACAAGTCTAAATACGCTATAGGAATGAGAATAGCTCTACAATAGATAGATAGATAGATAGATAGATAGATGTGAATGGACTGATAGATAGATAGATAGATAGATAGATAGATAGATAGATAGATAGATAGATAGATAGATATGAGCAAAATGAAGAATAAGAGATAGGGATTTTGATAGAGAGATCGATCGATAGACACATAGAGAGGAACAGTGGGAGTGAAAATGATGAAAGCGAATGAAAAGCTGGATAAAATAACTCGGCTTTGACAGACAGGAACAGAGCGTGAAAACTGTAAGCCTCATTACTGGAAGACTTGGAAAATTTTTGAAGAAACTTGCAAAGAAATTAAAGGAATCAAAAATTCGATGAAGACATGGAACTTTTCAAATAATAGCGTTGCTGGAATCAACAAAAATACCAAGGAAAAGGCTGACATTCTAAAGAAATTTATTGTCAATTGACCTCAAGTATCCTGCCCCGCAGATGTGAATAGTGTTAAAACTCAAAGAATAAATTAACTTCTACTACTACTACTACTACTACTAATAATAATAATAATAATAGCAGTAGTGGTTATAATAGCATTTCTGGCAAACAAGATGTAAGTACTTCTTGAATCAACATTGAATGGTAAAAAACAAACATTTAATATGGATTAAAACTTCATAAACAAATTTAAACCGGAACTAAAGCGATCATAACCCAACACGCAAAAGCACACAACATGCACACATGATGACCAAATACAGTGATCAGATCACTCGCATGCATGCACGCACGCTCACATGCGCGTATCTGTGGAGCACGAAAAAAAAATATATATATACACATGTTGTCAAAAGCAAGGAACTACTCACGGGCACACAAACAAACCCCACACAACTTACGAAGTACGTGTGTATGTATGTACGTATATATGTGTGTTTGTGTGTGTGTATGTGTATACTGGTTCCATGTAACTTGGGAAGTATGTGTGTGTACTAATTCCTCGTAGTGAGACAGTGTGTATGTATGGAGAGGGAATATACACATACATACACGTATGCTGACAGAAACACAAGAAAATGGAAATAGATCTAAGAACACACAGGGGTCATTAAAACATTAAAAGATAAGATACCGATAAGTAATTCATCATTTCTCTTGGACCAATCTTAATTGTTTTATGGCCCTTCGCGCAGAACTCTTCACTGCCAGTTCAAGAAAGACATTCGGATTACTAACACACAAGAAAAAAGAGAATGTCTCATATCGAGAATATTTAACATCGAAAAACATAAAGGAGCAAAAATTAATTATTTTTAATTATATGTGGAAATCTCCAACCTTTACCCGATGACGGTCGCGAGACAAGAAACGCGTGTAGTAAAATTATGGAAAATAAAGCATAATATTTAAAAAAAAAAAAAATCCACATTACAACCAAAAACGTTTGTGGTATCTCTCTTCTTTTAATATACACACTTTCCTCTCGTTGGAACTAGTATAACCTCTTGCTTTCATATACTATATATATATATATATATATATATATATATATATATATATATATATATATATATATATAATAATAATAATAATAATAATAATCTTATAAATATAATAATTATACTCGTCTGGAAAAATCTTAGGTGTTTTTGCTTGTAAATGAACAAACCAATACCCAAGGAAATATAAGAAATAGAAAAAGAAAGAACTACGAACATGTAATTCAGACGAAAACAATCGTCCAGAATCCAAGCTCAGAGTCCTAAGAAAAAAAAAACCTCCAACGCGATTAAAACAAAAGTAACTAAGCAAAGTGCTCAATACACTAAGTAGAGAAAATCTAACTATGAACCTAAAGTGCCAGGCAAACCTACGCGGATCGTCAGGGTACCCTGATGATCCGCTTAGTTGAAACCTAGGTAGTTTTACCTGGCTCTTTAGGTTCATAGTTATATATATATATATATATATATATATATAGAGTTTTTATGGGATAATCCATATTAAATGTTTGTTTTTTACTCCATTCAAGAAGTACTTACATCTTGTTTGCCAGAAATGCTATTATAACCACTATTGCTATTATTATATATATATATATATATATATATATATATATATATATATATATATATATATATTTCTCAGAATTTACTGTAGAAAAAGACAATATATAAAGGTAATAAAAAAACAATAAGACAACCGTGTTGTTTTAGCCGGCATGTTTCGTCCAATATGGTTTTTTTTCAAGGCAAAAAACGAAATTATTTAGACGAAAAAAAAAACGAATAATTTAGAAACGCCATTGTATATTCATTTGGTCAACGTCATTTACTTTTTATGTTTGAAGGGAATATTTCCACATATAGAAATGTTGTTTGTATTGTTGTGTTGACTGATTCAACTGTTTTTTTTTTTGTTTGTTTTCTTGATATATTTGTTGTGTACATTGGCTTGGGGGAGTAGCGATTATGTTACGAAAGGTGACATTGGGAAAAATTTACACGGACTCCCAAAAACACAAAAACCGAACATACCAATGAGACCTATCATATCAGGGATAGGCATCCCCCCCCCACATAAACTAGCTGGTACACTAAGCACCCCCACCTTCCACGGCACTATTAGTCCATTACGTATAAAAGATTCAGGTGACCTCCAAAACAAGTTTTGAAAAATATAGACCTTAAAAACAAATATATGGCTAGTTTAGACATAAAACCCCTATACACAAACATCTCTATAGAGAAATGTCTAAATCTACTAAAAACACACCTAACAAATACAAAAATTAAATTACCTCTACCTACACATAAAATAAAAATATGCCAGCTAATCACCAAGCAATGTTTCTTTACTTTTGATTACCAAACCTGCATACAAAAATTTATCAGGTCATCCCATAAGTTCTGTCCGAATTTTAACTTTTTGTTAAAATGAACGAAATTTAAAGAGTATTTTATAATGTCTAATGGAGCTGAACATTATTTTTATGTTTAGATGCATTTAAATTGATCAAATTTTATTTCAGTGAACAATAAAATTAAATTTTGTTTGATTAAAACCCTGCTAACATGGAAGTACCCAAGAATCATTTGAGGCACATAATGCTTTATGAGTTCAAGAAAGGAAACTCAGCAGCCGAAGCGACTAGAAACATTCACTCAGTTTATGGAGAGGAATGTGTGAATGAAAGAACTTGCAGAAGATGGTTTGCAAAATTCAGAGGTGGAGATTTCACCCTTGAAGTTGAAGATCGAACCGGACGTCCAGTTGAGTTTAATGAAAAGCTTCTTGAAGCAGCCCTTGAAGAAAATCCTGCTTTATCAGTTGAGGAATTGGCAGTGGTTCTTAGTTCAAACCATACAACTGTTCATCATCATCTTCAACACTTGGAAACGTTCCTAAACTTGGAAAATGGGTGCCTCATGAATTTCACTTTTTTGGATAGACTTGTGACTGGCGACGAAAAATGGATCTTTTATCGAAATGTTAAGCGTCGTAGACAGTGGCTTGGTAAAGGGGAACTATCCCAGCCACAGCCGAGAAGGGAACTTCATGGGCAAAAGGTTCTTGTTTCAATCTGGTGAGATCGCCAAGGAATAATCCACTTTGAATTCTTACCACCTAATGCAACAATTAATGCTCAAATATACTGTCAGCAATTAGAGTGTTTGAACCAAGCTTTGAGAAAAAAAAAAGACCTGGTCTAGTGAATCGAAAAGAGGTGATGTTTCATCAGGACAATGTGCGACCCCACACAGCAAGAATCACGTCACAAAAGATCGAAGAACTTGGTTGGGAGAATATTCCTCATCCACCTTATTCTCCCGATCTTGCTCCTTCAGACTACCATTTGTTAGCTTACAGAATCATTTGGAAGAAACAGGTTTTGTAACACAGGTAGAGGTTAAAACTGACATTTGTGAGTTCTTTGAATCAAAGCCAAAAGAATTTTACAGTAATGGAATTAGTAAACTTGTTAATAGATGGAAGGAAGTCATAGATAATCAGGGAAAATACATTGTTGATTGAATCTGTAATTAAATGTAACATTTGGTCACTTGTTTTCTTTATTCATAATTCGGACAGAACTTATGGGATGACCTGATAGTTTACCTGCGGGATCTTCTTTCAGCGGTGTTCTTGCTTTTCCATTTTTTGAGTTTCTGGAGAACAAAAACACTCTGTCGCCAAACTCTTCCTATTTCATAAACATAGACGACTCACTGCTAATATATCCACAAAATACTAATTTAACAGATCTTGTCAATCAACTTAATAACGTTGAACCTACAATAGACTTCATCTTTAAAACTGAAACCAACTATAGTCTTCTCTTTCTAGATATCATGTTGCACAAAAACAATAACGAACTTAATTTTGATGTTTATAGAAAAGCTACCAACAAAAAATGACCTGGTCAGTTTCTACTCAAACCACTCTTCTAAAATTAAGTCTGGAATTATTATAAGTTTCTATTTGAAAGCATTAAGAATCTGCAGCCCCCAATATTTACCTAAAGAAGAAACATACATAGAAAACACATTCAAAAACCTACAATACCCATATCATTTCATACACAACGCAAGAAGAAAGACAAACAAAATACAAAACCGCAACAAAAATAACAACATCATCCATAATAATAAATTACATGAGAACAAATGCATAAAACTACCGACCAACTCCGTTACGTCCACTTTCCAGAACAACCTATTCCATCTAAAAACATCCATGTTTCTACATGTGAAAATATTCTCTTCACACATAAAAATTAATTGACATAATTTTTCAGTTGACCAAATGAATATACAATAGCGTTTCTAAATCCTTCTAGTTATTAACGAAATTTTGTATTTTTGTTTATAGATACTTTGTTTCAATAAATTCATTTTTTTTTTTTTGAAAAGTCCACATTGGACGAAACGCGTCAGCTAAAGCTACACATTTCCTATCGTCTTTTTTCCATTATATATCCCCCCCACACACACACATATATATATATATATAGAGAGAGAGATAGATAGATAGATAGATATAGATATAGATATAGATAGATAGAGAGAGAGAGAGAGAGAAAGAGAAAGAGATAGATAGATAGATAGATATGAACAGACTGTGATAGATAGGAACAGACTGAGATAGATAGATAGATAGATATGAACAGAATGGATTAGATAGATAGGTAGATAGATAGATAGATAGATAGATAGAAAAAAGAAAAAAACAGACTGAGATAGATAGATAGATAGATAGATAGATAGATATGAACAGAATTGAATAGATAAATAGATAGATATGAACAGAATTGAATAGATAAATAGATAGATAGATAGATAGATAGATAGATAGATAGATAGATTTTTGCGTGAATGGGTGCAAAACCGCTTAGTTCGAGGGACATAGTTTTGCGAGGGTTAGCGAGTATCCTTGACCCTACTCCATTCTAGTACTCTCTGTGAGACTGATCCCGACGAACTAAGCATTACTGAAACTACCTTTCCATGATGTGGCAAAGGGTAAACCACTAGGACCCATAACATCCAGCCAACAAATGATCGAAATAAGTTTTTCATTGAAATCGACCCTCGCTTACGAAATGGTTGAAAACGACTGGATTCGACAAAGTTTTTGTGTCTGTGTTTAATGTGCGATTTCTAGCCATAAATAATTTGTTCTTACGATTTACAGATCGTAAATTTTAAGCCTCCAAAATAAAATTGCTCTCATTTACCCACAATAGAGACACCTCCCTGCCTCCTATCAGGATCGCTGATGCTCAACTTTACGAGAGCGTCTTTCCACGCCTTCTTGGTCTCACGTTTTCCACTGAGCTGAGGTGGAACAACTACATTGAATCAATAACTTCATCTACCGCAAGGAAAGTTGGTTCTCTGTGTCTTCAAATCTACAAATTTATCACTCGTCCATGCATTGAATACTGTTGCCATATATGGTCTGGTGCCCCGCTGTTCATCTTGAGGTTCTCGACAAAATTTAAAGACGTATATGCACTGTGATAGGTCCTGACCTGGCATCTCGACTCCAGTCACTTTCTCACAGAGGTGATGTGGCTTCCCTCTCTCTTTTCTACAAATATTTTCATGGCAACTGCTGGGACGTGTTATTTTCACTGGTGCCCCAACTGCAAGAATTTAAGCGTACTACTAGGTTGGCATCTCGATTCCACGCTTTCAATGTCGAAACAGTTAAATGTAACCGCCTCTTCTACTCCAACAGCTTCTTCTCTCGCACTTCCCGACAGTGGAACTCCCTTCCTCTTACTTTCTTCCCTGATGGCTATAATCTTCAAATCTTCAAATGTAATGTCAACAGACATCTTCTGATACCTTGATCCTGTTCCCTGTCCTTCTCTATATCCTTTCCTCAAACACCCCCCTCTTTACTCTTGCTCTCAATCCTCTGTAAACCCTTGCGTGCTAGTGGCGCTCTCGCCTTGCTTGGAGTGAAATACTTAAAAAAAATAACAGTTTAGTTCAAAAATTATTTAAACGCAAAATGTTTAATCAGTTCCTAATTATAGTCTGTCTAGTGAGACAAACTGTCTCTTGCTCAATTGGACATATGCAACCCCAAAAGATATCCACAATGAAAATTAACAGCAACGACGTCCGTTTTTATCAGACAATTTTTAATAACTAAAGTCACGACGTAACACCAAGGAGATGTTTGCATGCTAAACAATGATCCAATGATGTGAATCAACATCGAATATTATCAAAATCAATCTGATTTCTTGTATTATTTACATTATTCGGACTGTTATTCTGATCTTCATTGCCATATTCATAACGTTTCAGCCGTTGTACGCTCCGGCCTTCTTCAGGTGATTGGAATTTCGAACCGAACCCTTTATTTCGTCCATCCGGGTAGATTGTTCTAGTTCCACATGCCATGCCTCTTCTGGATGTCTGAGTTATTTCCCTTTGACTCAACTCTCCAAGAGGCATGGCACCTGGAACTAGAACAATTTACCCCAGTGGACGAAATAAAGAGTTTGGTTCGAAATTCCAATCACCCGAAGAAGACCGGAGCGTACAATGGCCGAAACTTGTCAATATGGCAATGAAGATGAGGATAACAGTCCGAATAATGTAAATAATGCAAGTAATTATAATACCTCATCTCAGAGATATACAGACCGAAACGTTGTGAATATGACATTGAAGATGAGAATAACAGTCCGAATAATGTAAATAATACAAGTAATCAAAATACCTCATCTCATAGAGGCCGAAACGTTGTGAATATGGCAATGAAGATGAGGATAACAGGCCGAATAATGTAAATAATGCAAGTAATCATAATACCTCGTCTCAGAGATATAGAGACCGAGACGTTGTGAATATGGTAATGAAGATGAGGATAACAGTCTGAATAATGTAAATAATGCAAGTAATCATAATACCTCATCTCAGAGATATAGAGGCCGAAACTTTGTGAATATGGCAATGAAGATGGGGATAACAGTCCGAATAATAATACAAGTAATCAAAATATCTTATCTCAGAGATATAGACAGATATCAATCTGACATGTTCGACATTATTTCGATCACTTACAAATAGATTTCTAAATTACTTTTATCGTTTATAATTGAAAATAATCTTGTATTTAGAATCTGTTCAGCTATCTCTGTCATTTTAGCCACAGAATGAATGTTTTCAATACCAGTCTCTACAATTTGTCTTCCATCGTCTAGAAAGACTTAAAAATTAAATAAATATGAATTGAGATGAAAGAAAACTGATGAAACTCTTCTGATAAAAAATGTTTTTTAAAGAAACGCGGGTAAATTCAAAAGTTCAACATTTGTATAAAATAAAAATTCAAAGAAGATTTGATATTGTTTTCTTGGGTTTTAGATTGAACTCAGTGCATTTTTATGTTTGATGATGTCGAAATAAAGTTTAAGCCGTAACTCGTCATTCACTTAATTTGAAAAATGTACGATTCGAAAGAGACAATATGGTTTTGATGCCAACTAAAAATGTTTCCAGTTTTGATTTCATACCGGGTTTCATATTAAGTGTTTCTTGTACTGTATAAATTTCGATATCTACATCTCTTATATACACCGTCTCAATAAACGTATAAGCGTGTCACATATGAACGAGGACGTGAAAAGTAGTATATACAAAGAAGGATGAAAAGGAAAAATTGGAGGAATTTGTTGTTTTTTTCGGGGGGTGGGGAACAATAATGAATACAAAGGAGGCAATTAAGGGGAGCAGAATTGAATGAATTTGTTGTAATAATGTAAGTAATGATTACGGTATAGGGAGACTAAGGTGGAATAAGATTGAATGAATTTGAAGGAGAGTAAAAGGGAGCAGGATTGGATTTGTTCTTTGAGGAAAGAAAGTAGTGAATACATCACCGGGGAGTTTATGGTGGTAGAATTGGATGAATTTATTTTTGGAGGGATGGGAGTAATGAATGCAAGTGGTGCAGGATTGGATGAATCTGTTTTGAGGGAGGTAAATAATGAATAAACAGTGAGGAGGGGAAAAAGGATTGCAGAATTCAAAGAATTTGTTGTCGGAAGAAGGAAATCGATGAATCCACAGGGTGAGATTAAGGAGAGCAGTTTTGGGTGGAATTGGGGGGGCAGGGGAGGAAAGCAAAAGAGGGAAATTTTTATTGAATTCCGTAAACGTGACAAATAAGCGAAAAGTTCGCTTACACTCAACGTTTTTATTCTGTCAAAACAAGAAGATAAAAACAGAAGTTGTTTTTCCCATTCAATTTTTTTCGTTTTATTTCAATTTTTTCTATTATGAATTCTATTATCTCTCTCTCTCTCTCTCTCTCTCACACACACACACACACACACACACACACACACACACACACATATATATATATATATATATATATATATATATATATATATGCGTGTGTGTGTGTGTGTAGTTATTATGTGATAATCCATATTAAATGTATGTTTTTCGCTTCAGTGTTGATTCAAGACGTACTTACATCTTGTTTGCCAGAAATGCTATTATAAACACTATTATTATTATTAGTATTAGTATTCCTTTGCTTTCTGGTGTGTACTCATTTCTTTCCGGGTCCCGAACAGAAACCTCAGGTCAGAAATGAGATTATGATATTTTCCACTGACCAATTAAAAAAAAATTACAACACACATATATTACATAGGTAAAGACCTTCTTAAGGTGTGGGCTGTACTCGTGAAACAATTTTGGTATTTCCTTAAGGCATGGGCTTCCAGGAATCCCTTCAATGAGTCTATTGGAATCTTTTCCAACCAATCCGAGGGCTACAGCTACAACTGGAATTGTTGATGTTCTCACGGGCCTCATTTTTGAGATTTCTATTTCAAGGTCCTTGCATTTGCATAGCTTTTTGAAGATCTTCAAAGATACATTGCAGTCTGCAGGGACTGCCATATCAATAAAGAGGTAATTTTTTCGTTTGCGGTCTCTAATAATAATGTCTGGGCGATTAGCTTCGATTGTTATTTATTATTATTATTATTAGTAGTAGTAGTAGTAGTAGTAGTAGTTAATTTATTCTTTGAGTTTTAACACTATTCACATCTGCGGGGCAGGATACTTGAGGTCAATTGACAATAAATTTCTTTAGAATGTCAGCCATTTCCTCGGTATTTTTGCTGATTCCAGCAACGCTATTATTTGAAAAGTTCCATGTCTTCATCGAATTTTTGATTCCTTTAATTTCTTTGCAAGTTTCTTCAAAAATCTTTCAAGTCTTCCAGTAATGAGGCTTACAGTTTTCACGCTCTGTTCCTGTCTGTCAAAGCCGAGTTATTTTATCCAACTTTTCATTCGCTTTCATCATTTTCACTCCGTATTCTTTTGATAAAGAAACGTCTGCTATTTGCTAGATTCTTGCCCCTTTGAAAAAAACGTTCTTTACCACGCCTAGATCTGCTCTCCGGCTAAGAATTAAAGGATTCATAAAAACCTTAGAATTTTATTTTACTAATTTACTTTTTATTAATTGTTTTCGTTCCCTTATTATATAATTCCCATCTCTGTCCAGGCAACATTTACTATTTTCTTGGGTTTTGTTTATTTTTCTTTTAAGCGTTCACTTCTTGCTTAAACTCACATATAATTTTGTCTGCAGATTCTTTTGTTTATTCGATTCTCCATGACTTTGGTCTGATTTTCCCAGTTCCAATTCTGGGGGATTCCGACCAAACATTTCTCCGTCTGTTACATCTGTTTTTAATCTGTCGCGTATAGTTCGCTAGCCTTTTGAGAATTAAATTAAACGCATTCTTCCGTGTTGGATCAGCAAACTCCCCACTTTTCTATTTCCATAGAGTCAATTGATTTCATATTTGGAGATCATATCTATATACACTGCGTGCCAAATTATTATCAAGATAACTATTTTTCTAATATTTCAAAAACCGTCCAATCAATTCACACAAAAGTTTCACACAAGGTTAACAACACTGACCTGCACAATCACTGAAATTTTCGTACTGATCTGCACAATGTAAACAAACTAGTGCCATATTTGTTTTCAGCGCGGTGATTTGAGCGTGCCAAATTATTAGAAAGGTTTAGTACAATTCCCAGAATTGAGCAAACAAAACGTTTATTAATGTTGCATGTGAATGTTTATGATCAAAAGAAGCTAATAAATAAGATAATCAAACAAATAATAACAGATACAAACAAAGGCACAGTTTTAAACAAATTAATAGGGAATGTGCTGTCCCTGTTTTGAAATTACTTGAAGAAGTCGACGATCCATAGAATTTGTTAATTGTAGGATGTCATCTGCTGTAATGCCGCGAGATATGTCAAGAATTGCTTCCCACAACTCAGCGTTGCTCCTGAATTGTCGTCCGTTGGCGTACAGTCTTCGCTTCATGATGCTCCAAAGGTTTTCGATTGGGTTCAAATCCGGAGAATTTGCTGGCCACTTTATTTTTCGAGGTCCATCGGAGCCTAACTGTTTCAAATATTCAGTAATCTTGTGAGCAGCATGTGAGGGAGCATTATCTTGCATAAAAACAATGGCCCTTCTGAAGGCAACTCTTCAACCACGGTTCAAGATGCTCCTTCATAAACGCTATATATGCATCAGCAGTCATTTTGACGCCATCTGGTACTCTCCATGGGCCCACTAATGTGTCTCCAATAATATCACCCCAGATCATTATGCCTCCACCGCCTTGTTAGCGTCTCAAACGCTGAACGCGATTCTGTCCATTCATTACCCAGCCTTTGCACTATTTATCTGGCCCATCAAGTGTTGCTCAAGTTTCGTCTGTGAACAAAACTTTAGAGAAGTCAATCTTCATATTGTCCTCGGCCCATTTCAATCGATTTTGAATGTGATTTCTCGTCAACGGAGGTTTCGATACAGGTTTGACTGTTATTACTATTTAGCCTCAGATACCGAAACCGAGTACTTTTAGACACAGTAGGATCCCCAATGCGACTGAAAAGCTTTTGACTGGTAAGTCCAGGGGTCTTCGTGGCCTCTCGTTTAAGTCGTGACATGTGACGACGTGAAATAACCCTCGGCTTGCTTTTATCTGCCCTTTTGCGTACTTGTGTAGGGTCGGCGGTGAACTTTTTCCCTCTTTGATGACACCTCCCTATCATTTTAGAAATTTCTAGGGTAGATTTACCTTTTGAGAGTTCTGAGGTGATAGTTGTCTTTTCAGCATCACTTAAACTGTTTTTACGGCCCATCTTTTCAGTAAATTTTTACACTTTTCTAATAATTTGGCACGCTCAAATCACCGCACTGATAACAAATATGGCGCCAGTTTGTTTACATTGGGCAAATCAGTATGAAAATTTCAGTGATTGCGCAGATCAGTGTTGTCAACATTGTCTGAAAATTTTGAATATTAGAAAAATAGTTATCTCGATAATAATTTGGCACGCAGTCTATATTGTGAGTAATATTCTACTTCTCTGATGGAGATTTTCTAAACGTAGCTTAAATGTGGCACAAGGCCAATGGTTTTGAGCACTCATTGATGATCAAACTCATTATTAATTCATAGTTGTTCGAGCGTGACAGGCTTGCCAACCGTTACACCACGTTCAAGTGTCCAAAATCTGGCTTTCAATATGGATGCATTCCAAGAAAGACAAGCTTTTTAATCATTACACTACGGCGAAGTCTCCAAATGGTTTTCGAAAGCGTGGATTAGATATGATACAAGGCCGAAAGTATAGGGCACCCAGTGAGGATCGAACTCACTACTCAGTCTTAATTGATTTACCGAGAGAAGCTTGCTAAGCATTACGCCACAAAGGAGTGCCCAATTCTCTTCTGATGTAAAAATTTTATTCCTTCTTTTGTTCTGTCCGGAAAGAATCCAGAATATATAACTGTTGATTCTCTCCGTGAATTTATGCTTTTGTCGGGATTTCTTATCTCATCTCCAAATTATTTCTTGTTTTAAGATTCGCTTACCTTACTCATTCATCCGGTTAAATTGAATCTACTTTTAGGATTTAGATAATCGTCTTTTGGGCACTATTTACCTTATTCGGATTATTGTGCTCATCTTTGTTGCCATTCTACGCTCCGGCCTTCTTCAGGTGGTTGGAATGTCGAATTGGACCCTTTAGGCTATTCTAGTTCCACGTGCCATGTCTAATGGATGTCAGTTATCTCCTGTAAATCTCCTGTTAATTCACTTCTCCAAGTTCTCCACTGTCTTAACCAGGTATTGAACTCACAACTCTTTGGGTCCTGTCATTGAATCTAACCAACGCCTTTACCCACTGCACCATGTGTCCTAAAGGACACCTGTGTATAAATTTTTTCAGCAACCATTTTTACTTGTGCTCATATTGCAATTTTTGCTGTTATCAATTGCATGTTCTTTACCAGAGCTTATATTGCAATTTTCGTTGTTATTAGTGCTTTTCTCTGGCACTCTTTATTACTGGTTTCCATATTGTATTCATTTCTATGCTTGGCCGGCTTATTATTGTGGCCTGGCATATGTGCTGATTCCTTAAGTTTACGAATTTTCCAATGATGATCTTTGTCTATGATTTCAACCTGATCCCACAGAGGGCAATGATCTCACTTCTCTCTCCATATGTGGTCAGCCACGCCTGATTTTTCCACATCCCCTCGTGTTACATCTTTTTGGTGTTCTTGAAGCCTTACCTTAAGCGGGCGGCCTGTTTATTCACTAACCATCATCATTAAAATTATAATAAAACTTTTTTTTTGTTCACTATAAAACTTAACTAAGCTTCTGCAATTCCTGTTCTCTTTCTTATTTCTTTTGTCGAACACGTGACAGCGAAATATGGGTGGGGCTTTCTTCTGTTTGTTAACAGCCCCGCAGATCCGATCTCCTGGCCTGGATTGGATGATCTGGTATTTACC